ATTCATTTTTTACCTTGGAAAAATAAGATTTACAGTAATTGTGATTTCAAGTTTACTTTTTTTTTAAAAACAAATTTTTATTTTGTGTTATACTTATTTAATTTTCAAAGTGTACTTAGGTACAATAAATTACATTATAATAATATCCTGTCAAGGGAAATGCATTTACTTGCACTTACCTTTTTTCGTTGAATTCTATTGTTTTTTTGTTTTTTTTGTTTTTTTTTCTGATTAATTTAAAACTGTCCATATATAATTTAAAAACCATATGCTAAACATTTTTCACTTTATTGCTGCATTTTCGTAGAATGTCATGTTTGTTTTCACTTACCTCTTTTGGTATTTTTCATTATTACATATTTTTTCAGATTACTTTCTGGGCTTGAAACTTTAGGTGTCCTGAACACTATAAAAGAAAACCCTGTTGCCTGTAGAAAGGCTTTCATTCACAGTGAGGAATCAGAGTTGACATCAGAAAGATTAAAGACAATATTCCATGTGGACTTCAGTGAGAAGGGCAGTAATAAAAGAAGCACTGAAGAAGTTGTGCTGTCACAGTTTTTTGATTATCTTATAGATGTTGAAGGTATAGTTAGTTTTTAATATAGAATGGGGAAAAAAAAACATGCTCAGCTTACATGCACAAATGTTTTATCCTCCACAATCATAAACACTTATTTAACAGATTGTCTTCAACCTGATATTATATAGTCAGGACCCTAAATGCATGCACCTAAACTGAAATAAAAAAAAAATTGAAAACAAAATCAAGGTTTTAAAATGATTAGCAAGGTTTATGGCACACCATGTATGTACTTCTGAAAAGCCAACGACAATTGCATTCATTCCACATCATTGCATAAAAATATTTTTTATTTTAGGATAAATTTATTAGCACTTGAATTTTTTTTTTTTAAATATTTTTCAGAGGGAGAAACGAAATGCACATTACGTGATATTTTGGTATTTACGAGTGGAGCATCGAGTATACCAATTACCAGTTTCACTGAGATGCCAGCACTGTTTCCTGCACAGTGCTGACAATTATCCAACAGCCAACACATGTTCTATAGTCCTTAGACTTCCAAC